GACAGCTTTGGTTTTGGTTTAACGACACTCAATCAAAACCGTTCTTCCTATTAGTCATGCGTGGTAAACTATAAACTTCCTCATCCTCCAACTTCAAGGAGGTGATTGATTCAAGTGATAACCGAAACAGGAGTTAAAAAATCTATAAACAGAAATACAGGATTTCGGTTCTCCTTTTCTTTCTTTCTTTCTTTTTCTTTTCTTTTCTTTTTTTTTTTTTTTTTTTTTTTTTTTTGCCCTAACAGTACTTCTTTTCAGTATTTCTTTGCGAATTAGCGTGGTTGGGTTTTTTTAATTAGCTGATAGGTGAGACCTGAGATCTGCAAAATAGTTGAGAAATGGGCTAATATTTTAACTAACGAATATCTGTGAAATCACCGAAAATTTTACTGATAACTGATATTTTAGAACCCTATCTAGACCCTCTTGTATGTATTCCATGAATATGCTGCAAAATAAAGGTCGATAAACAGTGAATTAGATTAAAGTTTTGAATATATAACATGCCCTCAGTCCATGAAGTTACCTCTTTTAGAATTCGTTTGTTTGTTTGTAGAAGGAGCTAGTTGGGTCGGAGCCAGAGGAAATAGATGAACGTGATTATGGTGTCTTTTGGTTTTCATCCGTGTTAGTGGAGAGCATAGTAGAAAATTCCAAACATGCAATTTAGACCCTTCTAGAAAAAACATTACGTGATCGACAGTCGGTATTGCACAAGCGTCGTTTTCGAATGATATCGCTTAGTCAGTGAAACAGGTTTCGTATTGTAATTTGCAGTGATTGGATCAGCTTACTCTTGTTACGTCGATCTGTCATCGGACGAGATTTGTAGTAAAATCCAAGTTATTTCGAACCAAAAACAAATACAAGTCGCAACACACAACTGATGTAACAAACACAGCTGAATACACGTTCTGTAGATCACTGCAAGAGTACTCTGGTGTGAACAAAGTATTTATAAATACTTCTATCTTTAAGACCCCTCAGCGACGAAACAGTCCAGCTGCCAATTTTAACCATGAAGAGCCTATTCGCATTCCCTGAGCCTCAAGTACAGTTCACTTTATCGGTGAGTCAACTGTACCACTGAAGCCTTCAATTGTCATTGCTTCACATGCTGATTGCACAGAAAACATCATTACGACATACTGACTCCCTGTTGTTCCAGTGAAGTTATCTGATTGAAAACCCACAGAGAACCTGCGGACACCACCAAACGAAAATTAGTCGGGCAAAATATGTTTACGGGCAAGCAATAGAAACCTTGCAAACAGTAGAGCAGGCGGCAAAAAATAATCTGCCCAAATTTTAGTCAGTTGTGTTGTGATTCTCATAACCAAATAAATCAGTGGAATTAGAAAATTGGAAATTTCGGCTGTTTGATAGCGGGGCATAGCGACTGTCGTCCGAAGTTCGAGAGCACCAGAACTTACAGAGATTGTTCCATCGGCATTATTGGTTTTCTTGATGTTGCTTGTATATTTTTGAGATATTGAAGAGTTTTCAAAATAATTTTAAAGCCGTTGATTTATTTATGTGTGTGTGTGAGAGAGATAGCAAGTTGAGCTGAACCTAGCAACCAACTTAAGAACATTTCATCTCCACAACAAAGGACTAATTGCGTACCAACCATATCGCAACAAAGTGTTTTTTTTTTTCTTTTTAAGATTCGTATCACTGATATCTAGAACTGGACTGTATCAGGACGTAACATTTTCACGATGACGTTTGACGTTACGGACCAATAGCTTTCTCGCGTGGTTCGGAAGCCGCTGACCAATCGTTTCGTGTCATTTTGAGATACAGGTCGCCCATCCGAACTTAATTATAATAATTTCTTTCACATCCTCGACGAATTTTTTCAAACTGAAATAATCTATGCCAATTAACCAATCTCGACAGGCTGCCCTCTCATGGTTATTGAGTTTAAGCAAAATACACCCTTAATTCCCTTTACATTTTCGACATTTTTTTTTCAAAGTGAAATGAAATAATCTAGTCCAATCAGGCTTGAAAGTGATGGCAAAGATCTTGCTTCTCCTGTATCTTTATTTTATTCCTTTTTAGACGCGGAAATTAGCGCTAATTTCCGGGTATGAAAATGAAATCAAAACATCTCTGGGATTTCCAGAGAGGGATAACGCGAAACAGCTTTACAATTCAAACTTACAATCAGTGCTGAAATAAATCTGTTTAGAATTTAGAAAATTCAAATCTTCCTAGATAATCTAAGATCTGGAACCCGTAATTGACCATAATTGAATAAAGGGAGTAGGGAGAAAATAAATGGGGCTGTCTTATTTAAAACGTTGAAAAGTTTAACTGCATGTGATAAAGTGTAGCTCTGTCGCTTTACGCCTGTTGTTCTTCGGGGTTCTATTTTACAAGATAGGCTCACAGATCCATGTAGGTCACAAAAAAAGCTAACGTTCGTTTTCTGCCGACGAACTTTTCAACAAAGTCTGGAGTAAATATTATGGCCCAGAACAATGTAGCGTTCAGGCACTGCGTTCAGGTTTTCTCTGTTATTCTGTATTGAAACCTGTATTGTCAATTATTTCTTATCGTACCAAGTTTCAGCAACATTGGTGCTAAATAAATTTGGTTAAATCAAGTTCAGCAGCGTTGATTCATTTAGAAAACAGATTGGTAAACCACGTCAAGGTAACATGTAACCGAATCAAAACTCCAAAGACAAAAATAAACTTTCCTGTTTTTAATATAGAGACAGTTCCTTCAGCTAGTTTTAATATCTTTTCAGTCCTATTTTTATGAATGCGCAATATTTCTTGCGAGCTGCAAAATTATCGCCTCATCGAATAACTCCCTTCAAGAGAGTTTTGTGTAAGATGCGCCCGTGTGGGTTATCATTTCGGTTCAGCTTCCCAGCTGTGTGTAGGAAGTCTACCTTTACTCTGATGGGAAAAATAAATAGCTGGGTCAGTCTTGTTTACTAACTACCAGAACGTTGTAGCAGATACCCCGAGGCACAATATAGATATTGGTCAAAGCGTCTTAGCATGGCACTTCAATTTAAGAGCAGGCGCAAGACTTCAAGTTGTAGTTAAAATATCGTGATTTTTATTTGCCCCTTTGAATAACGATGAAATAGCAATTTCAATCTCTGCGCGTTAAGAACAGTTAGTCAACGCAAACACAATTAGAAAGGCATATATCGGAACCCAACTGAATAGACAATTGAATTAACAGCTCTCCCGCGCTGGCCCAGGAGAAATTTCAAAGGGAAAACGTAAACATTTTTAGGGGTAATGAAAACCTTTTCATACCGTCTTCAAATCAAAAAGGTCTCAGAACAATGTTACATTTTGGCAAAAGGGATGCGAAAGGCATATGGTTGTCATGTTCGTATCAGCATCTCTTACCAATGAGGTATAGAATTTAGCCGGCAATCTCACGGCCTTGACCTTGTGACGATCACAAATTGCGCCATGGGTCGATGGATGTTTTTAATTCATCAGTGTCTATTTAAAGGTACAAATCCCTTCCTCTTAATAACATTCACCAAAACTGCTATTTTCGCTTTCCACTGATCTCATTAGTTTGAGTTTTATGGAATGAATTTGGTCCACATTAAGGAAATATTGTATTGCGCGCAACTTTCATTAGAACATTGGATGAGGAAGATAAGAAGAGCAATTTATAAATTCCTCGGGCAGTGATCTTCGATCAAGCCAATAACTGTTTGAAGACTGAACTAATTACTGTTACTTCGCCGTGCGATAATTTCTTATCAGATGACTCGTGCCTCCATTTTGCGATATCGAGCTTAGCGTGCACGGAAACACAAAATGTAAGAAAAAACCTTGCGCCGCTCTTTTGAAGGGAGGATTAAAAACCACTGTATATTATCAGTTGATTCCTTTCAGCATGACAACACCATTAAACTCTGGACTCGGTGGTTAGTATCCTCGTCCCACGCGTGGTATCAACATGAAGACCCGAAGGGTAAAAACACGCGAGAAAGAGTCAGGGATGTACCCATGGATCACACACGGACCCGCGAGCGTCCCGCCCACGCCCGTTTCTCCTCCGCTGGGCTCGCCAGTCTGGTGCTCCAGATCCAGCTTTCGAAACACAAACCAGGACTTGGCGGTTACACCGCGTGAATTTAATTTTTATCCGCTTAGTTATAACTTGCGCTTCTGGGCGGGGTTAAAAGCACGTATCTCGTTTTCCAAAACCGGCAAATCTGATTAAATATAACAAACGTGCTTTTATATCTCACTTAGCACCTTCCCTAAGGCCCAGAGATATCGCTGACTTGTTTATTTTGGGTTTATTACACATAAGAACAGCGACCGGCCGACTTAAGGGTTATGCCGTTTATTTGTTCAGTGGAGACACGAAATTCAAACACACACAAAGGATCAAGTGTGCCGCCACATCCCTAAGAGTTTGGAATGTTAGTTTTTGTAAAAAGCGCCGTTTTGTGCGCTCTTGGGATCATACCACCGCTTTCGGTTTGTTTGTTCGGTCGGTGTACTTTTGAACTGAGATGAACTTGTGATCAGAAGAGGAAGTGTAACCAAATGAAGATCGTTTTATTCTCCACGCCGAAAAAAGATAAATAAAGTAGTAAGAGCAACTATTAATTGATGCTTGGAACTATGTGCCCATGGATCTCTCTTGAGTCGGGCTTGGCGGGGGTGACGAGCGGGTTTTAGGAAGACGGATGTGGAGAGAGCCGCGGCGAAGGAAATACAGCATCGCGAATAATATGAAAGGAAATCGCATTTGTTTGTTAATTTGTGTCACTCAGCGTACTTTGACAATCTTCAAAAACGAAAAATTAATTTACAGTTTTGTTGTGGAGCTTAGTCACAATAATTCAACCTTAAAATCTTTAAAACGAAAATGCTCAGCTTTTTATACGCTTTGAAAAAACACGCGCGTGTTTTGCATTACTCACGCGTGGTCGACGATATCATGTCGCATTGCGTGCGTGGGTGTCAGATGACAGGCAAGAATCATGGGAAGTGTGTCGCGAATCTGCGGACGGTTTCTTTGTGCATACTAAACGCAGGATTTTATTTGTCGCTTGATGCCGAAGAGGCTTAGCTAACCATTACTCTCGTTGTTTCTTCTCGATCAGAAATCACCAAATCAACCATGACTCTTTAGAAACAAGCTGCTAAAGTGCCATATAACTGCGTGTATTTCAAGAAAATGACTTTTGCTTTCAAGGGAGGGCTACTTTTAGCGTGTGTTGTTTTAAACTCAGTAGCCTTGAAGCCGAGAAGTAGAAGAGATGTTTACGGCAACTCATGGGTGGTCTACGTCGAGAGAGAAAAGCGATTTGTCGACGATTTAGCAGAGAGGAATGGTTTTATAAACAGAGGAGAGATTGCAGGCTTCAGCGGACACTATTTGCTTGAACACAAAACTCTTGGAAGGCGCCGCTTTCGACGGGATGCTGCGGAACACACAGGCAATCTCTTGCGTGAGCCTCATGTAAAATTTGCTCTGCAGCAGAAGATTTTGAGAAGAACTAAACGGGGATATTTTTTAGACCCTTACTATAAAGATCAATGGTATTTGAACAACTCAGGTAAGCGAACCACATTTATAATTTTCTGGTAATTTTTGGCAGGGATGTAGGTTGACTTATCATAGTTTACGGTGGAGTTAGATTGGGATATTGCTGTGTGGGTATTGTTTTGGAGCAGTATTCAACAGAATTATGTTGGGAAGGATCACGAAAGTAAAAAAAAATCAAGCATTAGAGAACCTTGTCATTCACTTCTGTGGGAAGAAATCGACTATTAGTAAATTGTTAATTATTTTGTGTGAAAATTTCACGTTAGCTATCGAGTATTGATGTAAGCTTACGTTTTGTTTCTTCACATCAGGCAGCGCATTTCGTTTGGGACGACTCTAAGCTTTCTAATACACTGGAAATTAGTACAGCCTCTTATTCAATCAAGTAATTGAACATTTATTCAGGAAAGCACTGAATATCAAGTGTTTGAAAAGTGGAACTCGCTTGTAAGTTGTCGAAAAATTTTGTGCGATCCCGCGAGTGTAATTTAAAATCTGTCATCTTCGATCAAAATCCACATAAAAGGAGGTGAAGCATAAAATTCCACGAGTATTTTATTCTGCTTCCTGTGCAGTTAATGTAGTTGTTATTTAAACTTTGACGTCGTTATCCGGTCGTTTACTATATTGCCTGTTTTTTAGTACGAGCTTTTCTACAGAACGAATTGATGTTAGCGCAATTTTCATTTCATACATGTATTCAAATGTGTTTTACAGGCGTTTTGTCAGTGGCTTCAAATTTCAGTCCTTGTGATTCTTTATCTTATCGAGGCTGTGCAGTTACGTACCGGAGATTGGATTTTGCTGGTATCTGTCTTGAAGGAAAGACATTCACACAACCTCTCGAGAACACAAAGGGAGTTGTTAGCATTTAATTATCGACATAGCGAAGTATCTTTATTCGTGTTTTCCCTATTACTGTCAGCTGCGCTGCTGTAAAACGAAACAAAAACCGAAACCAATGTAAAGTTCACTTTTGAATGTAGCTGTATATATTTAAGTTGAATGTCAAATGTTGTGCTCTGTCACATTTGAAAATGAATTTTCTCTCCCAGTGAAGTGCTGGGTATATAGTTTTCACCTAAAAAATGTAACATTTTGCTATTCTGTTTACGACTGTCCTGTCAATCAGTTGTGATCAGTGGATTAGAGGATGTGAGCAATGATGTCAAAAATTCTTTTGAGGTAATTTTGTTAAAGATTTCCCTGGCCTTGGCTCAAGGGTGAAATTTGATGTGGTTATACATGTATGGTATCTATGTCCCTCATTTGGCAAAGCCTTAATGTAGCTCGTTTGAAGTGCCTTTATGTGCAAATTTGTCCCTCTCTGAGGAATGCACACATTTTCTTTAGAAAGCTCGTAATGGCACTTTAGCAGTAATTAATGCCCTGGTGTTCTGAGAAGATATGGATCAATGCTCTGGGATAATTGTTTTTCTTTGGCAGCCCCATAATAACTTGTTGGTTAATGTTGTCTTATTTGTGACAGGCAACATTTTCCAATAAGCAGATGTCTTCAGGCAGATAACAGCTGTTTAACTTCAGGACGTATTTATCAGCTTACATCAGTCATGCAGGCATTGTGCTGTATGAATTTTCTTAATCCATTTCAAAGTATGGTTGTTTTTGTATGCCATGGCATATTTGTGTAGTGGAATTCCTTCCTTATTTATTATTTGGCTGAGAACTAATTTTTGCAATCATAGAGCTACATGTACCCTTAATCTGTAGATCCATGCGGCTATGGAATAAACCATTTACCTTTATGATTATTAGTAAACATGTATTAAATACCTATCTTGCCTACAGCACAATATTATGATAGGGAATTTGCTACATCATAGTCTGATCTAATACACAAGAAAAACACATGTAGAAAAAGGAAAAATTATGCAAGTGAATTAAAAGTAAAGTTAGCGATTTAACAGTACCTAAGTCACTGTTATCACAATGAAAAATTTTAATCCTCTTTTCTCTATTATTCTGCTCTTTTTTTATATTATTATATTCGATTCTCAGTGAATTTTTTTTGTGTCTTATAAGGCATTATTATTATGTTACTGCTTCTTGATGGCACATACTGGCTAGATCTTGACGATAAATCTTGCTTGCCTTGAACTGTGAATCCTTACGACAACCAGTGAAACAATATCACTGTGGTTTCATAGCTATAGCCTGTCAATAAAAGCAATCTGGAATGGGAGCTATATGCAGCTACATGTTTTTTAATACTTCTTGAAATAACCAGGCAGTTAAATATCGTGGAAAAGGCGCCTGCTCCTTGAGTTTGAAGTCTCTTTCTGGCACCGACTGCTTTCTGGTGAAATTGCTGTGGTTAATAAATATAATATGTATTGCTTTAGCCAGTACGTATTTTGACAGTTTCTGAGATTTGTGCTGCTCATAATCCCTGAACAGTTCTTATCTGATGCCCAATTCAGATGGTTGATCTTAAAATGGTACCCAGTAAAAAGAACAGTTTGGAGAACTCAGAAAAGGAATTCCTGGATATTTTTTTGTGTGTCCTAAGGGTTTTTTGGTCTTCCATCTTATCAGCTCTTTTCAGCTAATTATTACTTTCAGGTGATATTGCAGGATGATGTGTGAAATGTTTACATGTGTACACATGCCATGGGCAAATAAGTGGTCCTTGAGATAACATCAGTCAATACAGTGAGAAGTTTCATGGCTTTCTGTTCTGTTTGTGTTCTAACAATGCAATTGACCACTTCAATCCTAGCTTTGTTTCTTAAGTAACAGCAATTATTTGTAAGCATTGGTTATGTTAAACAAGCAATTTTCATTGATGTTGTAAGGATTGGTTATGTTAACCAAGCAATTTGCATTGATGTTGATTTCTAATTCAGTAGACAAATACAATGTAGCTTCAATGATAAATATATTTGCCCTTTTGTGTATAAGAGAATATTCTCTTATCTTTCAAGAATGTTTTCAATACTGAGCAGCATCACGCACAGAGCTGTTGGATTTAAACTGGATTAAATTGAATAATAAAGAAGGATTAAAGTTGTTCCTTGTGCTAAAGTTATGTAAAATGTAATGCCTAAGTCCATCAAATGCGAAAGAAATTAACAGAAGTTCAAATTTCATGCTTCCTGTCTTGCTCTTTCAATGATGTTCATTTGTTCATTCACATTACAAGATTGAAGTAGTAATAAAACATTAGGTTTGTGGAGTAAATCTTGTGTAAGCATCTAAGTACATAGTATTGTGATATTTTAATTTACATCACTGAAATAACAGACAAAAATGACTGATTTTTTTAAAGGCTTGTGGCTTTCACTTCCTTTGAACAACTCAATTTTTCTGTAACCTTGAATTTTAGAACACGTGAATAAAGGCATGCAATGTAAAAATGATCATAGGATTGGCCACAGGCCATTTCTGTTTCATTTCAATCAAGTTCTCCTGTTAATCCATTTCTGCAATGTGAATTCCTATGATAGTTTTTGCCGAAATTGAAGTGGGCAGGAAGAGCTGGAATAACAGCCAGACATGCATTGTGTTTTTACAATGCCAGACAGAATTTTTTCTATGCCACTTGAGACAGGGTCATTGTACTGGTGTGTGCAAAGTGACTTACAAGATGCACATAAGTATGTCACTGTACATAACATATTTTTCCTTAGTGAATTAAAACCAAATAATAAATTTGCAGTATCTCTATCTTCTGCAGGACAAACTATAGGTCCACGAGGATTTGATATTAATGTTGGTCCAGTATGGCGTAAAAACATCACAGGGCGTGGTGTTGTGGTAACTATTTTAGATGATGGTATTGAGTACACTCATCCAGATCTTCGGAACAATTATGAAGCAAAGGCTAGCTGGGACTTTAATAGTCATGACAGTGATCCAATGCCTCGTTATAGCAGAGATAACCTCAACAAACACGGCACAAGGTATTTGCGTTTTCCTATAAATTATTCACAGTCGGTGTTTACTGTAGGTCTGAATATGGCAGCCTGTTGGTTAGTGCATTGAGTCCTGGATAGAGTGGTAAGAATTCAGGTACTTCTTAAAGTTGTTTCACTCACATGTCAGGGTTGTCAAAATAGTCAGATGTTGTCAAAAATCACCCTCTACTTGATGATGGTGATAAATTTGGTTAACTATATCTCTGCTTGGCTATTCTTTGAGTTTTTTAGAAAAAGCTAAGACGGCTAAATCAGCTGCCTACTTCCACAGTAAAACCAGCTACATGTACGTGAAAAATGGGAGATCAACTGAGCAGTACAGTACATGATCACATTCCTACTCCCACAATAGAATGACCAAAAACTTAGGACATCAACATTACTGTGCATGTACAGTACATGATTGTGCTCTAGGGAAGACACTTGCAGTGTCTCTATTGACTGGATTTGGTGCTTGGGATATCCAATGGTTCTTCTAGTCTGTTAGGTCACACTACAACAGATCATGCTCTATTATATAGACACAAGTGTTTTACTGGAAAATACACCACTCATAAAACTTGTATGAAACCACATCTGGGACTCGGGTGGCGTATTTTCCATTCACTGATGTCATATTTGACACTTAAATTTGTAAGGGGCTATGATTCAAACATCTTCTGACCTTTCATGAAAGTCTTTGGAAAAGTTCGGAAACATTCGTGTGGCCTTCAGACAATTTTTTGAGAATCTGGGTAAATCTTCGGAAAATCATCAAAAACATGTTATCAGTATGTATAATTTAAACAAAATAATATATGGTTGCTTGTAGACATGGAATATCTGTTCTCTTGTTCAACTTTATATCTCACTCGTTTGCTGCACTCACTGCTGAGATATTGAGGTGGACACTCAAAGAGACATTCCGTATCTACAGTATGTGCAGCCATGTATCATTCTGTACCAATGTAATTTATACTTGTGACATAGTAATATCACAGTAAATGCTAATGACTTGTCTTGTCTGATAGATGCNGTGTCAGATGACAGGCAAGAATCATGGGAAGTGTGTCGCGAATCTGCGGACGGTTTCTTTGTGCATACTAAACGCAGGATTTTATTTGTCGCTTGATGCCGAAGAGGCTTAGCTAACCATTACTCTCGTTGTCTCTTCTCGATCAGAAATCACCAAATCAACCATGACTCTTTAGAAACAAGCTGCTAAAGTGCCATATAACTGCGTGTATTTCAAGAAAATGACTTTTGCTTTCAAGGGAGGGCTACTTTTAGCGTGTGTTGTTTTAAACTCAGTAGCCTTGAAGCCGAGAAGTAGAAGAGATGTTTACGGCAACTCATGGGTGGTCTACGTCGAGAGAGAAAAGCGATTTGTCGACGATTTAGCAGAGAGGAATGGTTTTATAAACAGAGGAGAGATTGCAGGCTTCAGCGGACACTATTTGCTTGAACACAAAACTCTTGGAAGGCGCCGCTTTCGACGGGATGCTGCGGAACACACAGGCAATCTCTTGCGTGAGCCTCATGTAAAATTTGCTCTGCAGCAGAAGATTTTGAGAAGAACTAAACGGGGATATTTTTTAGACCCTTACTATAAAGATCAATGGTATTTGAACAACTCAGGTAAGCGAACCACATTTATAATTTTCTGGTAATTTTTGGCAGGGATGTAGGTTGACTTATCGTAGCTTACGGTGGAGTTAGATTGGGATATTGCTGTGTGGGTATTGTTTTGGAGCAGTATTCAACAGAATTATGTTGGGAAGGATCACGAAAGTAAAAAAAAATCAAGCATTAGAGAACCTTGTCATTCACTTCTGTGGGAAGAAATCGACTATTAGTAAATTGTTAATTATTTTGTGTGAAAATTTCACGTTAGCTATCGAGTATTGATGTAAGCTTACGTTTTGTTTCTTCACATCAGGCAGCGCATTTCGTTTGGGACGACTCTAAGCTTTCTAATACACTGGAAATTAGTACAGCCTCTTATTCAATCAAGTAATTGAACATTTATTCAGGAAAGCACTGAATATCAAGTGTTTGAAAAGTGGAACTCGCTTGTAAGTTGTCGAAAAATTTTGTGCGATCCCGCGAGTGTAATTTAAAATCTGTCATCTTCGATCAAAATCCACATAAAAGGAGGTGAAGCATAAAATTCCACGAGTATTTTATTCTGCTTCCTGTGCAGTTAATGTAGTTGTTATTTAAACTTTGACGTCGTTATCCGGTCGTTTACTATATTGCCTGTTTTTTAGTACGAGCTTTTCTACAGAACGAATTGATGTTAGCGCAATTTTCATTTCATACATGTATTCAAATGTGTTTTACAGGCGTTTTGTCAGTGGCTTCAAATTTCAGTCCTTGTGATTCTTTATCTTATCGAGGCTGTGCAGTTACGTACCGGAGATTGGATTTTGCTGGTATCTGTCTTGAAGGAAAGACATTCACACAACCTCTCGAGAACACAAAGGGAGTTGTTAGCATTTAATTATCGACATAGCGAAGTATCTTTATTCGTGTTTTCCCTATTACTGTCAGCTGCGCTGCTGTAAAACGAAACAAAAACCGAAACCAATGTAAAGTTCACTTTTGAATGTAGCTGTATATATTTAAGTTGAATGTCAAATGTTGTGCTCTGTCACATTTGAAAATGAATTTTCTCTCCCAGTGAAGTGCTGGGTATATAGTTTTCACCTAAAAAATGTAACATTTTGCTATTCTGTTTACGACTGTCCTGTCAATCAGTTGTGATCAGTGGATTAGAGGATGTGAGCAATGATGTCAAAAATTCTTTTGAGGTAATTTTGTTAAAGATTTCCCTGGCCTTGGCTCAAGGGTGAAATTTGATGTGGTTATACATGTATGGTATCTATGTCCCTCATTTGGCAAAGCCTTAATGTAGCTCGTTTGAAGTGCCTTTATGTGCAAATTTGTCCCTCTCTGAGGAATGCACACATTTTCTTTAGAAAGCTCGTAATGGCACTTTAGCAGTAATTAATGCCCTGGTGTTCTGAGAAGATATGGATCAATGCTCTGGGATAATTGTTTTTCTTTGGCAGCCCCATAATAACTTGTTGGTTAATGTTGTCTTATTTGTGACAGGCAACATTTTCCAATAAGCAGATGTCTTCAGGCAGATAACAGCTGTTTAACTTCAGGACGTATTTATCAGCTTACATCAGTCATGCAGGCATTGTGCTGTATGAATTTTCTTAATCCATTTCAAAGTATGGTTGTTTTTGTATGCCATGGCATATTTGTGTAGTGGAATTCCTTCCTTATTTATTATTTGGCTGAGAACTAATTTTTGCAATCATAGAGCTACATGTACCCTTAATCTGTAGATCCATGCGGCTATGGAATAAACCATTTACCTTTATGATTATTAGTAAACATGTATTAAATACCTATCTTGCCTACAGCACAATATTATGATAGGGAATTTGCTACATCATAGTCTGATCTAATACACAAGAAAAACACATGTAGAAAAAGGAAAAATTATGCAAGTGAATTAAAAGTAAAGTTAGCGATTTAACAGTACCTAAGTCACTGTTATCACAATGAAAAATTTTAATCCTCTTTTCTCTATTATTCTGCTCTTTTTTTATATTATTATATTCGATTCTCAGTGAATTTTTTTTGTGTCTTATAAGGCATTATTATTATGTTACTGCTTCTTGATGGCACATACTGGCTAGATCTTGACGATAAATCTTGCTTGCCTTGAACTGTGAATCCTTACGACAACCAGTGAAACAATATCACTGTGGTTTCATAGCTATAGCCTGTCAATAAAAGCAATCTGGAATGGGAGCTATATGCAGCTACATGTTTTTTAATACTTCTTGAAATAACCAGGCAGTTAAATATCGTGGAAAAGGCGCCTGCTCCTTGAGTTTGAAGTCTCTTTCTGGCACCGACTGCTTTCTGGTGAAATTGCTGTGGTTAATAAATATAATATGTATTGCTTTAGCCAGTACGTATTTTGACAGTTTCTGAGATTTGTGCTGCTCATAATCCCTGAACAGTTCTTATCTGATGCCCAATTCAGATGGTTGATCTTAAAATGGTACCCAGTAAAAAGAACAGTTTGGAGAACTCAGAAAAGGAATTCCTGGATATTTTTTTGTGTGTCCTAAGGGTTTTTTGGTCTTCCATCTTATCAGCTCTTTTCAGCTAATTATTACTTTCAGGTGATATTGCAGGATGATGTGTGAAATGTTTACATGTGTACACATGCCATGGGCAAATAAGTGGTCCTTGAGATAACATCAGTCAATACAGTGAGAAGTTTCATGGCTTTCTGTTCTGTTTGTGTTCTAACAATGCAATTGACCACTTCAATCCTAGCTTTGTTTCTTAAGTAACAGCAATTATTTGTAAGCATTGGTTATGTTAAACAAGCAATTTTCATTGATGTTGTAAGGATTGGTTATGTTAACCAAGCAATTTGCATTGATGTTGATTTCTAATTCAGTAGACAAATACAATGTAGCTTCAATGATAAATATATTTGCCCTTTTGTGTATAAGAGAATATTCTCTTATCTTTCAAGAATGTTTTCAATACTGAGCAGCATCACGCACAGAGCTGTTGGATTTAAACTGGATTAAATTGAATAATAAAGAAGGATTAAAGTTGTTCCTTGTGCTAAAGTTATGTAAAATGTAATGCCTAAGTCCATCAAATGCGAAAGAAATTAACAGAAGTTCAAATTTCATGCTTCCTGTCTTGCTCTTTCAATGATGTTCATTTGTTCATTCACATTACAAGATTGAAGTAGTAATAAAACATTAGGTTTGTGGAGTAAATCTTGTGTAAGCATCTAAGTACATAGTATTGTGATATTTTAATTTACATCACTGAAATAACAGACAAAAATGACTGATTTTTTTAAAGGCTTGTGGCTTTCACTTCCTTTGAACAACTCAATTTTTCTGTAACCTTGAATTTTAGAACACGTGAATAAAGGCATGCAATGTAAAAATGATCATAGGATTGGCCACAGGCCATTTCTGTTTCATTTCAATCAAGTTCTCCTGTTAATCCATTTCTGCAATGTGAATTCCTATGATAGTTTTCGCCGAAATTGAAGTGGGCAGGAAGAGCTGGAATAACAGCCAGACATGCATTGTGTTTTTACAATGCCAGACAGAATTTTTTCTATGCCACTTGAGACAGGGTCATTGTACTGGTGTGTGCAAAGTGACTTACAAGATGCACATAAGTATGTCACTGTACATAACATATTTTTCCTTAGTGAATTAAAACCAAATAATAAATTTGCAGTATCTCTATCTTCTGCAGGACAAACTATAGGTCCACGAGGATTTGATATTAATGTTGGTCCAGTATGGCGTAAAAACATCACAGGGCGTGGTGTTGTGGTAACTATTTTAGATGATGGTATTGAGTACACTCATCCAGATCTTCGGAACAATTATGAAGCAAAGGCTAGCTGGGACTTTAATAGTCATGACAGTGATCCAATGCCTCGTTATAGCAGAGATAACCTCAACAAACACGGCACAAGGTATTTGCGTTTTCCTATAAATTATTCACAGTCGGTGTTTACTGTAGGTCTGAATATGGCAGCCTGTTGGTTAGTGCATTGAGTCCTGGATAGAGTGGTAAGAATTCAGGTACTTCTTAAAGTTGTTTCACTCACATGTCAGGGTTGTCAAAATAGTCAGATGTTGTCAAAAATCACCCTCTACTTGATGATGGTGATAAATTTGGTTAACTATATCTCTGCTTGGCTATTCTTTGAGTTTTTTAGAAAAAGCTAAGACGGCTAAATCAGCTGCCTACTTCCACAGTAAAACCAGCTACATGTACGTGAAAAATGGGAGATCAACTGAGCAGTACAGTACATGATCACATTCCTACTCCCACAATAGAATGACCAAAAACTTAGGACATCAACATTACTGTGCATGTACAGTACATGATTGTGCTCTAGGGAAGACACTTGCAGTGTCTCTATTGACTGGATTTGGTGCTTGGGATATCCAATGGTTCTTCTAGTCTGTTAGGTCACACTACAACAGATCATGCTCTATTATATAGACACAAGTGTTTTACTGGAAAATACACCACTCATAAAACTTGTATGAAACCACATCTGGGACTCGGGTGGCGTATTTTCCATTCACTGATGTCATATTTGACACTTAAATTTGTAAGGGGCTATGATTCAAACATCTTCTGACCTTTCATGAAAGTCTTTGGAAAAGTTCGGAAACATTCGTGTGGCCTTCAGACAATTTTTTGAGAATCTGGGTAAATCTTCGGAAAATCATCAAAAACATGTTATCAGTATGTATAATTTAAACAAAATAATATATGGTTGCTTGTAGACATGGAATATCTGTTCTCTTGTTCAACTTTATATCTCACTCGTTTGCTGCACTCACTGCTGAGATATTGAGGTGGACACTCAAAGAGACATTCCGTATCTACAGTATGTGCAGCCATGTATCATTCTGTACCAATGTAATTTATACTTGTGACATAGTAATATCACAGTAAATGCTAATGACTTGTCTTGTCTGATAGATGCGCCGGTGAAGTCGCAGCCAGTGTCAACAACAACATGTGTGGAGTAGGTGTAGCCTATAACTCGCGCATAGGAGGTGTGCGAATGCTTGATGGTGATGTCACCGATGCCATTGAGGCGTGGTCGTTAGGCCTGGCTAGAGACTTCATTGACATCTATAGTAGCAGCTGGGGTCCTGATGATGATGGCCGTACTGTAGATGGCCCTGGCCCTATGGCCAAGAAAGCCTTTAGAGAAGGTATCAAAATCAAAATTCTATTGCTAGAAAAAATCAATGTACTTTAATAAAGTTCATGCCAAAGGCCATTCTACTGTATTGATAGAAACACAGATTTTACAATAGGTACTGACAGTAATACTGGCAGAGGCCAAGAAAATCATTATGCACATTCAATTACTAAGTGATTTTCTGTTCTTTTCCTTGCAGTGTTTTCTTAAAGAAATAGTGAATATTTTGTCTATGTACAGTGTTGTGGATTAAAGCACTTGAAAATTTTGGGAGAATTACAATTACATGTGTTTACGTTTGTTAAAGTATTTTGACAATCATCCGAAATCAGCTGCTGTTAACTCAGAAAATTTTTGTATTGTAACAGGTATCAGAAAAGGACGTGGTGGGCTAGGAGCCATCTTTGTCTGGGCGACAGGTAATGGTGGACATTATGATGACTATTGCAGCTGTGATGGTTATATCACAAGCATTTTCACTGTGTCTATCGGTGCTGTCAATGATCGTGGCAAGTCTCCGTGGTATGCTGAACCTTGTCCATCAACTCTTGCTGTTACCTACAGCAGTGGCGAAACGCAAGGCCGACAAGACAAGCAGATTGTTACAACTGATTTACATCACTCTTGCACAAAAAGCCACACAGGGACTTCAGCCGCTGCTCCTTTGGCTGCAGGTTTGTCACTCTCCAACTGTCTACCCTGTTATGATGCAGGTCTGTTTTTCTCTCTCAGAATTCACAGATCAGCCATGTTTACCTGCATCTGCTATATGTATGTGATGCTTTCAAGTTGAGGGGTGGGTGGAGGAGGGGTATTCTTTGTATGATGAACAGTATACAGGAATATGCTCTGGAGTAGGGCTAGCCAGAACACATTCCATTATCTGTAACGTAGAACATTTTCTGGATTGAGAAAAGAAATTGGAAAGAACATACTTATAAGCAATAGGTTGCACAGAATATAAGAAATACTCTTGCAAGAATACATGTAGATACAAGACTATAAAATACTTTTTCTAGGTGTATAGGATTTGTTCTTCTAAGATATGTTCTTATGTTTATGCTCCTGGTCTGGACTCTTCCAAAAATGTGATAAGACTTGACAAAGTTGTGTATTTTGTCTTGAATTCAATTAGTCCAGTGTACATGTACTTGTAGTTCAGAGTTTAGTGTACATCATTTTCATTGCAGTCCATTTCTGAGCTAGTGTGACATTTTCAAAATTTGGCCACAAGTTTATTGTGTTACTCGGTAAATATATAGCAAATTGGAAAGTGAACGTATTGTAATATTGATCATTGCTGTCAATATTAGAAAAATAAATGTTTGCTTGAACACAAACAGCTTAAAAATAGTTACTCAAAAGAATATAGGAAAGTATGTACTGGTGGTTAGAAAAAAACAGAAGCCATCAGCTTGTTTCTTGTGACCACAGTGTTCTTTATAACTCTAATTAGAAATTTCTGCATTATGTTTGTCTGTATATATGTACAAGGTCTGATGTTAGTATTCTCTATTAGTACTCTAACACAACAGCTTCAAACAGTTTTTTTTTTATCAATATCAGTACTTGCATCTGCGGAATTTGAACTGTAAGATTAAATTTTTGTTGTGCCTGAAATTAAAAATAGTGCAAACTATATTGAGTCTATCATATTTTTTAAACATAGAGGGCCAGGCCATCACAAATTTCAAAACATTTCTAATATCTTACAAACAAAGCTCTGTACTGTGAAAAGCAAGGCATCCACTGATATCCTCAGCCTTTAGTTTAAATAAAGAAACAGCTTTGGATTAAGAATCAGCAGTTCAGAAGTCAGAATATAAAATTTATCATTTGCACTGCATTTGCTGGTAAACTGATTCTTCTTCTGTACACAACCTTGATATTGCAATTTAAGGCATGGAGTGCACCATATCTCAAGACATAAATTGATTGAATCTCTTCACGTATGATGTTTATAGTATATTACCTGTGTTACAAAGCTCAATATAACCATTTATCATATTTTTATATCCAAAAAAAATCATTTTGGGGGTCTAACAGTACGGTTAAATTATGTGGGAATTTCTTTTTACATTATGCATCCATCTGTGACTTGAAAATTACAGTCCATTACATCCAGGGGAGAAGTTATTTAACAGCTTGTATACTCGTTGTTGCTTAATGCTTGGGCTCAAAAGTCTTAAGCTAATTTACTGTCCTATTTTATTTTTGTTCCCTTAACTTGTACACATTGTAAATCAAAGTTGCATTCTTTTCATTTCAGGTATATTTGCCTTGGTGCTGGAAGCTAATCCAAAACTAAGCTGGAGGGATCTGCAGCATCTTGTAGTCAACACCTCACAAATGACTGATCGCACAGACAAAGGTTGGCAGAAAAATGGTGCTGGGCACAATGTTAACCACAAGTATGGTTTTGGGGTTCTAGACACTGCTGCTCTGGTAACAGCTGCTACTTCTCCCAGCTGGAAAACTGCTACTGAGCAGCACATGTGCCGAGAGCGAGATCATACTGACAACCTGAAAATTCCTGCTCGAGGGACTTTGACATCTTCGATTGTTAGCACCGGTTGTGCAGGAAAGACAAACTGTGTTATGAAACTTGAACATGTAAGAGTGTATGTCACGCTGAATCATAAATCCCGGGGATCATTGCGAATTGTTTTAACATCACCCGCTGGTACTCGGTCGGAGCTCTTGGCTCCTAGGGATAGGGATTATTCAAGCGATGGCTTCCAAAACTGGCCCTTCATGACTGTGTTTAGCTGGGGTGAAAACCCAGTGGGAACCTGGAAGATAGAGGTTACTGATACCAAGGGTGTAATGGGAGAGTTTAAAAAGTGGTCCATTAGGCTTTATGGTACTTGTGAAGACCACCGTAATATCACTCCAGCTGACTCTGAACTGTGTAGCAAGAATTGCAAGAAAGGATGCCAAGAACCTTTCAACAAATTTTGCCCCAACTGTTCAATGTATTGTCATTGTGATGGTGGTGAATGTTTGCCACTGTGCAACCCTGATGATGAAGTAAATCAAGAAACAAAGGAATGCCGCAAGAGTTTAACGTTTGCACTTGAAGAGGATGAGGAGCTTGGTACTTCTGCACCCACCAAAGACGTTACTTTACATCAAGAGGGTATATCTACATTCATGAAGTTGCTCATCATCTTCATTCTTGTAGCTGTCATTTTAACTGCTGTGTTGATTGTGTGGCACTTTAAAATAAGTCGCAAAGTTTGCTGGGCAAATCCCGATAAGATTGCCAAGCACAGCCGATCAACCTCCCAAACAAATGTTGGCTATTGGCCAGTCTCTGTGACACCGGAGGTGAATAATCAGAACTTAAAAGGACTTGGAAACATACAAATGTAGTTTTCTAGTTTTATTGCAAATTATTGTATAGCAGCTGAATTGTGTTACAGTGTACTTAGCAAGGGAATGAAAGTCAAAAGTAATTCAACCACACTGTCAGGGAAATTGAGAGTAGATTCAGCTTCTGTTGACTTTTTCACTCCCATGACTTCCAAAGTTCAAACTGAAAAAAACAAGAATCAATTTCAGCTTTGAATTTTAGCTTTGAATACTACAGGGATAGTATGGTTGACTTTGCTATCTTGAATTCTTTAGGGAAGCATAAAATAGTTCTAAAAAGCAGGGTTTGAGATTGAAAAAGAAAAGTGCATGATAGTGTTATATTTGAGATAGGTGCAGTTCATCATAGCCTAGGTCAAGATAACATGGTTCCACTTTACTGCTTAACATCTTTGCTTTGAATAGTCACGCACACTACCTTCTCTTACAGAGTTCAACAGAAGTACCACATTCTTTGAATATTTCATTATTGAGATTGGGAGTGAAACCCAAATTTGGGGACAGTTTAAGTCAAGTTAAAACCTCTCTCAGATTGATGTTTGTGGTCAATGTTATTGCTTCCCTGAAACCAAAAATAAGAATAGACTTAATCTTTTATGACATTATTGTAGTTACATTTATTTTGGTTGTACATAACATTTTTTGCAATTATGTGATTTCTTTTTTTATACAGTGGTTGAGAACACTGATTTTGCACTTCAAATGGTTAATATCATTGTTACATGTATGTTGTGACAAAACCAATGAAACAAATTATCGCTTCAGAATTTTACTTCTATGATGTTCCTTGTGACCATTCTTTCCAAATGTTACTGTTAAAAATTCTTTCAGTATACAGGTATTGTTGAGGGGGGAGGGATTGTTCCAAAAAGTTAAAAAGTAACAGGTTTTTCTATCATTCATTGCCACTTTTTTAAAGATATCTTTCTTTTAATTTCGCATTTACCCTTGAGGAGTAACCTGTGCTGTGGACCTTTGCAAATTAATGTCTGTAAAATTGTTCCTTTCCAAACTGAAGCGCTACAGGTCTATCTTTACAGTACTTGACAATGATTGCCTCAAAGACTAATGTTGTTGACCTCTGGAATAAGTAAAAAATATTGGCTTTGTAAATACCCTGCTAGATTTGTTATACATTGTAGGTTTCAGATGAATAATTTTCGTTGTAGCTTCCTACATATAGCTTTTTTGAAAAAATACTGGTAATAATGCAAATGCAATTCAGTAAAGGACAGAATCCATTAGCTAGCCTGACTGTGAAATCCAGTAGCCAGGGCTATCAGACACGACTTGCTTTGCATGGGGAATGATACAGCTTGATTATCCAAGCTTTAGAACATCACCACCTTCACTTCTTTGTGATACTGAATGATGGAAATGATAGCTTACATTGTGAAAATATTGGACATTACATTTTTTTGTATAGTTTTATACGTAAAAAAGGTAAACATATTATGTTAAGTGGGGAAACCATAATGATTATTGGAGAAGTAGGCGCATGTACTGGTAGCAAGAACAACCTTGAAAATTATGTGTTTTCTAATTTCCATCCAGATTCAAAGACTTTGATTATGATTTTCACTGCATCCTAAGATGATTCTCAAGTATAATTGATTGGGAGGTTTAAAGAAATTTTTGGGGCTTTGAAATATGGGATCTGTGGACTTACCTTTCTTGGGGTGAAAGTTTTTGGTCTGGACCTTTTTGGAGATCTTCTCATTTTGCTTGCAAACACTGTTGTGTCATTTTCATATAAAGACGTCCTGGACAGGTGCAAACCACATGCAAATGACCAGGATGTCGATAAGACTTTCCCTTTTAGCAGAACTGTCTTGATTTTGTTTTCAAGCCGATAAAGAAAGGATGATTTGGGAGTCGAGTTCAGGGGCTTCAGAGGTTTTTTGGGTCTTGTTTACCCTGATGGAACCTTTTTTGGGTCTGATGATTTGGTTTCATTTGCATCTCCCATTCACTTTTATATCTGAGTACTTGCTGGACATTGCATCCCTGCCATTATAATTGTAATATAAAATTATTTCAAGCACCATGCAACAAAGCATGGCCCATTCAACTGTATTGCGCATAATTTTTGCTAGACTGTTTTTTTTTATAGATCGTGTTATTTTATATTTAATGGGGCACCAATTCTCCACACTTTGTTGGAGGTGTAATTGTAGAGGTTTTATTATCATTAAAATAGCAGTTTAATAAATACGTAAATGCCAAATTTATTATT